ATTTTTGGAAAAAAAAAAAAAAAAAAAAAAAAACATCATCAAACACAACAACATTCAACTACAAAGAATTAATCATAACTAATTAACTATTAATCAGTTGGATTAGTTAAATTAATCTCAACAAAAGAAAATGTTCAAAATTCTAATAATTAACACCTCCAAAAGGGCTATGCTTATATGCAAATTTACGCTTTTACCCTTTGCAATAATGGCAGCAAAATTTGTTGAATTATGGAATTAGAAATGCTAAAAACTTGAATTCTTTAGAACTAGAAGTATCATAGCTAACAAAAATTAATTAACGAGAGATAATCAAGAGCGTAAGTAATAATAAAATGCATTCGTTAATATAAATATAGCTCTATTATCTGTTGCGATATTATAACTATCAGCTATCAAATCAAACGTTAAGTGGATGGAACATGCATTTCCTTCTCTAAAATTGGAGTCTCGATCTCTTAGCTCACAATGTCCAAACTAAATAGGAAATAAACAAAAACTGTAATAACTCAGGTCATCGCTAGCAGATATTGTTTGCTTTGATCCATAGGTTTTCACACCCTTGTAAGAAATGTTTCGTTTCCCTCTCCAATGGGATATCACAAAAATCTATCGTCTCGCACTGGTTGGTACTTAGGGGTATTGTTGACCAAAATAATATATATAAATAAATAAATAAATTTAGAAGGGTAAAATGGTAATTGTGGATATGGTTATGGTTTTTGTTGTACGCGCCAAGATTCAGCGTGCATTAAAAAGGAGAAGAGGGAACGAAGGGAAAATTGAGAAAGAAGAGGAAATTTCTCCGTGAGAATTCGGAATTGGGATTTGTGTGCGGTTGATTCTCTGATTTCCTTCGTCGGAATCAGAGAGTCCTTCGAATCTTCCGTTTCTCAGCATCAATTTTCTCCTCATCTTCCTTCACAATCATACTACACGAAAATCTCCGTTTCAGGCCGTTTTGGGTGAATATTTTCGCATCAAAATCGACTCCCATTCGCCGTTCTAATCGCAATGCTCTAACGATCATTCGTCCTTGTTTCTGCAGCGAGTGAGTGCAGTTGTTCCTTCTTCTCCAATGGGAGCCCTAAAAAACGACGGCAAAATGGAAGGTTGGCTCTATCTCATCCGGTCTAATCGGTTTGGGTTGCAATACTCGAAGAAGAGATACTTCGTTCTCCAAGATGATTGCCTCAAGAGCTTTAAATCTGTCCCTGTTTCAGAGAATGAGGTAGTTAGTGCTCGTTTATTTCAATTTCGGTTCTGTAATTTCTGGTCTGATTTGTTTTGGAAGAATTGTTCCTTGATCATCCTGTTTCTTTTTCGATATGATACTTTGTTGTTCTTCCGTATGGATGGAAATTGGGAACAGATGAGAGATGCTCGGGTCCACATTGTTCATGTTACAGCTTTTGTCTTGTCTGTATAGATTATTGCACCTCTCAGGATTATGGATATGGACATTAAGAATAGTTGTACGTCGATAGGAATTATTGCTTTAACTGAAGATATTGTCGTTATGAATTGGCAATGAGCACCGCCTTCGAGGGGAACTTGTAGGAATTGGGTTTTGATTTGTTCAGGCCTTGGTTTCTCGTGATCTTCTAGAACAATGTGCCAACAATTTTCTATTCATCTTTTCATCCTGTAGTTTTCTCTCAGAGAGTTTTCTACACTCCCATAAAGAATGATTTGTTCTCCTCTCCAACCTATATGGGATCTCACAATCCATTCTCATTCGAGGCCCAGCGTCCTCGCTGACACTCATCCTTTCTCCAATCGATGTGGGACCTTCCAATTCACCCCTTTGAGGTTAGCGTCTTTACTGGAATACCACCTCGTGTCCACCTCTTTGGGGCTTAGCCTGCGATGTGCCGTTGGCACATCGCCCGGTGTCTACCTGTGATATCATTTATAACAGTCCAAGCCTACCGCTAGTAGATGTTGTTTTCGTTGGACTTGGAGTTCCTCTCAAGGTTTTTAAAATGCGTCTACTATGGAGAGGTTTACACACCCTTATAAAGAATGTTTCGTTCTTCTCTCCAAATGATTGAGATCTGACAGATTACAGATTACTATTTGCATTTTGTATTTTCTGCCCCGAACCTAGATTGATTAAAACAAAATGGTTCTGATTGATCATATGTTTTTCACCAGGAACCAAACAGAAGTGCCGTGATTGACTCCTACATTCGAGTTTCAGATAATGGGAGGGAGAGTATTCATAGAAAAGTACGTGGTGGTAGAGACTAGTATCTCTGAATTGGTCATTTCTTGAGTAAACTTGTATTCATAATTTCCTATGAAATCTGCAGGTGTTCTTCATCTTCACACTTTATAATACCGTCGATCAAAATGATCAACTCAAGGTGAAGTTAATTCTAGGCCATACAACATGTTTTGGAATGTATTATATTGTAACTTCCTTAAATGTCCCTTTATAGTTGGGAGCCAGCAGCCCAGAAGATGCAGCAAAATGGATCCACTCGCTGCTTGATGCTACATTGAAGGTATAAGAAACTGTACTCATACAGTGTTTTTCCCATGGTCGAGGCTTATTTTTCACTGTGCATCTAGGGCTGTTCGGATCCAGCGAGGAACTTTAAGGATCGCTCCAAGAGACAGTATCCAGCTTTAAGGTATATATTAGTTTCATTCTCTGGTGGTTAGATGGATGGTGTGTGTGTTATGATATCATGCATGTATTGAATTTTTGGATAGATTTCGAGGGTCAAAAAGAATGGACTGTAAGCCTTCAATAGACTGGACTCTCTATTCCTCTGTACAAATGGAAGCAATGACATCTGATGTTATTGCACCTTCCCCATGGAAGATTTTTGGTTGTCAGAATGGTAAGACCTGAATTCTCATTTGCATTCATTCAATTAGCCAAAAGTGGATATATGTTGAGTTTGATTATCTGCAGGCTTACGGCTTTTCAAAGAATCAAAAGATAATGATTCCCATCGTAGGGTAAGCTTTCCTTTTTAACTCCTCACCTGTGTTCTGTTACATGTTTTCAATTTTCATTTGATCCTTTTGTTCTTTGTCAGCAATGGGATGATCATCCCGCTATTATGGCTGTTGGTATGGTTTGTGGAACTTCCGAAGAAATTTTTCGGACCATTATGTCTATTGGCCCGTCAAGATCAGAGTAAGATTCTTAACTAAAATGATCACTTATGTCTCTTAGTCTACTAATAGATATTGTCTAATTTGGGTTTTCCTGTTTTAAAGAACTAACTTCTCACGGTCTTGCAGATGGGACTTCTGCTTCTACCGTGGAAGTTTGGTCGAACACCTTGATGGTCATACAGATATCATACATATGCAACTATATCGCGATTGGCTACCTTGGTCAGAACTTCTAATCTTGTAGTATTCTAGTAAACAAGAAAATACACACATATGTAATGCTGAACGTGACAACCTTTCAGGGGGATGGAAAAGAGAGATTTTCTTTTGCGTCGATATTGGAGACGAGAAGATGATGGCACATATGGTAATAATTTTCAGGAGAAATTGAATGCTTGGGGAATTTGAAATCTATAATATCTACCCCTAACTTCTCTCCCCTGTTTCTGTCTGTCACAGTGGTTCTATATCATTCTGTGTTTCACATGAAGTTTCCACCACAGAAAGGCTACGTCCGTGCTTCCCTTAAAAGTAATGTATGCAATACTAATTAACTGTGTAGATAATGTAAAGAACAGCATAGCTAACACTCATTCTCAACCCATTTTCCTCGATCACCTTGGTTCTTCCCCATCTTTCAGGAATTATAAATAAATAGTTTTTCTGTAGTGAAATTTTTACCTTCTGGAGCATTGAGTGGGTTGTAATTTGTTCTAATAACAAGTATCTTATATGGATGCACATTCAGGTGGAGGGTACGTTATAAGTCCAGTAAACCAAGGTAAACACTCGCTAGTAAAACACATGCTTTCAGTTGATTGGAAGTTCTGGAAACTATATCTGCGACCTTCATCTGGAAGAGATATTACTATCCGGATGCTAGAGAGGCTTGCAGGTATTAATATACTTCTTAGAGCATCCTTATGATGTATTTCGGCTTTTGTTTTAGAATTTAGATATCCATTGGAGGTTTTCTCAAACTATAATGCATAATGCAGCACTAAGAGAGCTATACAGAGCTAAGATTGGTGATTCTTCATCTGAATTCTCATCATCTGGTAGAGACCTTAGAAATTTTGAGTTGCCTCAGAGTGAAATGGATGAGATAAAGACAGAAATACAATCTCCTGAAGAAATGGGGAAAATCAAAGAGGCATTTTCAAAGGAGAATGAAGTGGAAATGCCTCGTGCTAGTTTGATTGGATTAAATGATGCTGTTGATGAATTCTACGATGTTCCTGAACCTGCAGAACTTCACCATTATGAGAATGAATGGACGTCTGACTTGACTATGCAACAGATGGTACTTTCTTATTGCTAAATTTAAAGTTTCTTACATAGTTGTACCAACTTTATTCTTTTTTGAAATCTGCAGAATATGTCCCAGACCAAACTATCATCAGCAGCTGTTTTTGTGAAGAAGTTGCATGATCTTGCAGGTACTTGTTTTCGTGAAAAAGTTGCACGATCAGCAGCTGATTAGAATTATTTCAAATGTGGAATTACAAGCTTTATTTAGATTTCATTCTAAAGAATCAAATAATTTGTGTGTTTCAGTTCAGAAGAAGGGTTATGCAGAATTACCTGAGTTGCCTAGAGAAGAAACTATGCCGTACTCCTATGGATCCACGCTTCCAAAAGACCCCAACTTTTCTCCATGCAGTGTGGCATCGGCAGATCCCTCTTTGTTTCTGATACGTGGCAAAAACTATTTGAAGGACCACCAGAAGGTATGCTTTAATGTATATGGCTGTGTTTCATGAAGAAGTCCAAGCCTATAATCAAACCACGCAGAGGAACTTCAAATATTAGGGTTTCAAAGATATTTGTTAAGAAAATTTTGGATCAAACACAGCATGGTGTACTCAGACTGTGTACAGTCAGTAATATTTTCTGAATTTAAGGTTGACAGCGTCGTAGAGCTATATGTTGGTTGGTAAGCTGTTATTTCTCAGCTGATTTCTTTAGCTCTGCTTCAAAAGTTAGTTAGCAGTCTTTTTCGTTAATCAGATAAGAGTAGATTCTATTCACAATGCAGTCTCCGATCAATTTTAAATTTTAGAACAAAATGGACTTAGCTTATTTCTTCTGTTAGTGTAATTGCCCAAGTTCATCGCTAGCAGATATTGTCTTTTTTGAGGTTTCTCTTTTGGACTTCCCCTCAAGGTTTTTTAAAACATGTCCTCTAGAGGGAGGTTTCCACACCCTTTTAAAGAGTGCTTCGTTCCCCTCCCAAACCGACGTGAGATCTCACAACTATGTTCCCATCAAAGGGCAAAAATGGGATATAATTTAGTAATTGATAAAATTAAAGTTGGAATTGGACAAATGTTCTTTACCACATTTCTCTGTATCAGATCAAGGCAAATGGCACGTTGATGCAACTGGTTGGTGCAGACTGGCTAAGGTCAGACAGGCGAGAAGATAATCTTGGTGGGCGTCCGGGTGGTATTGTTCAGGTTTGGCTTGGTTTTTCTAATCACAAGTTTGTCAAAAACCTTCCTAATTGAGTAGGAAAATGGCTGATGTTGATTATATATATGCAGAAATATGCAGAACGAGGTGGACCAGAATTCTTCTTCGTTGTTAACATACAAGTAAGTCGATTCAAGGTTTCTTTCCGGCCACCATAATCGAGTAGGATCAAAGCTTACCCTTTGCTGCCGTGAAACGTGATTTAGGTTCCTGGCACAACCACGTACACCTTGGCAATGTATTACATGATGAGGACTCCTCTCGAGAGCAGTCCCTTGCTCAAAAGCTTTGTTGAAGGAGATGATGCCTTTAGGAATTCAAGATTTAAGCTCATACCTTACATTTCTCAGGTCAGTAACAGAGCCTACACCTATGAAGAATCAAGAAGTCCATTGTCTGACATTCTCCATTGGATATTATATTGTCAGGGATCATGGATAGTCAAGCAAAGTGTTGGGAAGAAAGCTTGCTTGATTGGTCATGCACTTGAAGTACATTACTTTAGTGGGAAGAACTATTTGGAGGTGAACTAACTATAATGATCTCTCTATCTCACCCTCTTATCATATTATAACTCCTTTTTTGTGTGTGAAATCAGCTCGAAATTGATGTTGGATCCTCAACAGTCGCAAGGGGGGTGGTCAATCTTGTTCTTGGTTATTTGAACAATTTGGTCATAGAAATGGCTTTTGTAATTCAGGTATAATACACCTTTGTCTATAACTAGGTCTTGAAATGGTTTTATTTGCCTCGTTACATTTTTCTTTGATCATGGCAGGGCAACACGCAAGAGGAGCTCCCCGAGATCCTTCTCGGGACGTGTCGACTCAATCATTTGGACGTGACTAAATCACTACTGATAAAGCCATGAAAATACCTGCCCTGAAATTCTCAACCCTCTAAGAACAACAAGTATGGGACCCTCTGAATACAGATTTACATCAAATTCTTTTCCTGATTAACAATGTATAGAAGCTCTGATTTATTTATTTTTATCCAATCTGAATTCTCAGCTCAATTGTACGGTGCTTTTGTACCATCAGGCTATTTTAGTCAACAGCCAAATTATTATAATTAAAAAAAAATTTGTTTATTCATAGGAAATTCTTATGCAACTTTTTGTGTTAATTCTCTCTCTTATCATTTAAAGGGCAAATTTGTCATTTCACTTTTGGTTCAATTATCGCATTTGGACCCATGTTCGTGGCCACGTGTTCGAAGCAATCCAAAAATTCAATTATATTTTACTTAAATTAAAAAAATAAAAAAAAAGCAATAGGGGTAGTATTGGTATTTCAGTTTAGGTAGTTCATGTGGATGATGAAGGGAACCAAAATTGCGTTTAGTTTTTAGAAATAATAATCATTCAAAACACAGGCGGAGAGAAACGCCGTACCTGCAAAATCCGCGGCGGAACCGACGGGAGGAACACGAGGCTATGGCGGCAGTGGAGAAATCCATAGCGAAGATGCTGAGAGTCCATAACAACAATCGTATTGAGATTAACCATGAAATCCAGATCAAACCTCGACGGAGATTGAATTCAACACACAAACCTAACACCAAAAGTTGTGAACGACGACAGGCCATCGAGCCAAGAAGAAATCGAGAGCCAACGGAGCAAGAAGAAATCCAGCGGCCGTACATAAACGGCAGCGTCGGCGGTGTGATACGGCTGGGCAGCGCGAGAGCGACGCGGCCGGCGAACAATTTTTAAAACTCGATATAAATCAGAGGATTTGAACTGAAGAGTTTTAAATCGATGTTTGGTAAGTAAAAACCAGAGAAGTGGAAGAAAAATAATAATTATTATTTATTCATAGGTTTACTTTTGGGTACACATTGCAAATGCTTTAAAATTTGGGGGCAAAGAATAAATACGAAAAACTCAGGGCCAGCTTGCCTTTACTTTACAAATTTTAGTTTACTTCTTTTCATTATATATATAATGAATTCCATTTTTAAAAAATATTATATCCATGGTGAAATTTATATTATAAAGTCTTGCAATTTTAGTTTATTTTATTTTACAATATAACATTATTTATTATATAATAAATTCAATGTAAATAACTCATTGAATAAATAAGCTAAAAGTTTTATAATATATAATATTATTGTTTTACATAACTTTTTTAATATAAAATTTAGCATATCCAAATAAATAAATAATTAATTTTAATATTTTAATATTTGAAACAATATTTACCATAAATACTTATACATACAAAACTTTAGAAAAGAAATGGTTAAGAACTAGAAATAGTGGAATTAAAAGTCCGATATTTATTAATGTTTATAACATTTAAGGAGGTGTTAAATCAACATCCAATTTTGAAGTAGATTTCGCACAATCATTCTAGATAACAAGCAAGTTGCTGGCACAGAGTTGGCCGATGTTGTCGTTGCTACAAGTTGCTGGCACAGAGTTGGCCGGTGTTGTCGTTGCTACAAGTTGCTGGCACAGAGTTGGCCGGTGTTGTCGTTGCTACAAGTTGCTGGCACAGAGTTGGCCGGTGCTGCCGTTGCTACAAGCTGCTGGCACAGAGTCGGCCGATGCTGCCGTTGCTACAAGCTGCTGGCACAGAGTCGGCCGATGCTGCCGTTGCTACAAGCTGCTGGCACAGAGTCGGCCGATGCTGCCGTTGCTACAAGCTGCTGGCACAGAGTTGACCGATGTTGCCGTTGCTACAAGCTGCTAGCACAGAGTTGACCGATGTTGCCGTTGCTACAAGCTGCTGGCACAGAGTTGACCGATGTTGCCGTTGCTACAAGCTGCTGGCACAGAGTCGGCCGATGCTTATTCCCCAGATACGGTTATTGCTGCTGCCGTTGCTACAAGCTGCTGGCACAGAGTTGGCCGATGTTGCCGTTGCTACAAGCTGCTGGCACAGAGTTGGCCGATGTTGCCGTTGCTACAAGCTGCTGGCACAGAGTTGGCCGATGCTTATTCCCCAGATACGGTCATTGGTGCTGCCGTTGCTACAAGCTGCTGGCACAGAGTTGGCCGATGCTTATTCCCAGGCTACAAGCTACTGGCACAGAGTTAGCCGATGCTTATTCCCCCTGTCATTGCTTCTTCTCCAAGAAAAGAAGTTCACGACCCGTAGACCTTTTACCTCCATGCGGCATTGCTCCGTCAGGTTTTCGCCCATTGCGAAAAATTCTCCCCTCGTAGGAGTCTAGGTCATGTCTTAGTCTCATGTGGCTCTTAGTCTGGCTGATAGGGGTGTACATTCAACCCGACAACCTGGACCAACCCAACCCAAACTAACCCTAAGGGTTGGGTTGGAATAGCATTTCGAGTAGGGTTGGGTTCATTTTTCTAAACCTAGACTAAGTCTGTTTGGTTTCAGGTTTGTGAGCAGAGCAAAGTCTGTTTGGTTTCAGGTTTGTGAGCAGAGCAAAGTCTGTTTGGTTTCAGGTTTGTGAGCAGAGCAGAGTCTGTTTGGTTTCAGGTTTGTGAGCAGAGCANTTTGGTTTCAGGTTTGTGAGCAGAGTCTGTTTGGTTTCAGGTTTGTGAGCAAAGTCTGTTTGGTTTCAGGTTTGTGAGCAAAGTCTGTTTGGTTTCAGGTTTGTGAGCAAAGTCTGTTTGGTTTCAGGTTTGTGAGCAAAGTCTGTTTGGTTTCAGGTTTGTGAGCAAAGTCTGTTTGGTTTCAGGTTTGTGAGCAAAGTCTGTTTGGTTTCAGGTTTGTGAGCAAAGTCTGTTTGGTTTCAGGTTTGTGAGCAAAGTCTGTTTGGTTTCAGGTTTGTGAGCAAAGTCTGTTTGGTTTCAGGTTTGTGAGCAAAGTCTGTTTGGTTTCAGGTTTGTGAGCAAAGTCTGTTTGGTTTCAGGTTTGTGAGCAGAGCAAAGTCTGTTTGGTTTCAGGTTTGTGAGCAAAGTCTGTTTGGTTTCAGGTTTGTGAGCAAAGTCTGTTTGGTTTCAGGTTTGTGAGCAAAGTCTGTTTGGTTTCAGGTTTGTGAGCAAAGTCTGTTTGGTTTCAGGTTTGTGAGCAAAGTCTGTTTGGTTTCAGGTTTGTGAGCAAAGTCTGTTTGGTTTCAGGTTTGTGAGCAAAGTCTGTTTGGTTTCAGGTTTGTGAGCAAAGTCTGTTTGGTTTCAGGTTTGTGAGCAAAGTCTGTTTGGTTTCAGGTTTGTGAGCAAAGTCTGTTTGGTTTCAGGTTTGTGAGCAAAGTCTGTTTGGTTTCAGGTTTGTGAGCAAAGTCTGTTTGGTTTCAGGTTTGTGAGCAAAGTCTGTTTGGTTTCAGGTTTGTGAGCAGAGCAGAGTCTGTTTGGTTTCAGGTTTGTGAGCAGAGCAGAGTCTGTTTGGTTTCAGGTTTGTGAGCAGAGCAGAGTCTGTTTGGTTTCAGGTTTGTGAGCAGAGCAGAGTCTGTTTGGTTTCAGGTTTGTGAGCAGAGCAGAGTCTGTTTGGTTTCAGGTTTGTGAGCAGAGCAGAGTCTGTTTGGTTTCAGGTTTGTGAGCAGAGCAGAGTCTGTTTGGTTTCAGGTTTGTGAGCAGAGCAGAGTCTGTTTGGTTTCAGGTTTGTGAGCAGAGCAAGTCTGTTTGGTTTCAGGTTTGTGAGCAGAGCAAGTCTGTTTGGTTTCAGGTTTGTGAGCAAGAGTCTGTTTGGTTTCAGGTTTGTGAGCAAAGTCTGTTTGGTTTCAGGTTTGTGAGCAAAGTCTGTTTGGTTTCAGGTTTGTGAGCAAAGTCTGTTTGGTTTCAGGTTTGTGAGCAAAGTCTGTTTGGTTTCAGGTTTGTGAGCAAAGTCTGTTTGGTTTCAGGTTTGTGAGCAAAGTCTGTTTGGTTTCAGGTTTGTGAGCAAAGTCTGTTTGGTTTCAGGTTTGTGAGCAAAGTCTGTTTGGTTTCAGGTTTGTGAGCAAAGTCTGTTTGGTTTCAGGTTTGTGAGCAAAGTCTGTTTGGTTTCAGGTTTGTGAGCAAAGTCTGTTTGGTTTCAGGTTTGTGAGCAAAGTCTGTTTGGTTTCAGGTTTGTGAGCAAAGTCTGTTTGGTTTCAGGTTTGTGAGCAAAGTCTGTTTGGTTTCAGGTTTGTGAGCAAAGTCTGTTTGGTTTCAGGTTTGTGAGCAAAGTCTGTTTGGTTTCAGGTTTGTGAGCAAAGTCTGTTTGGTTTCAGGTTTGTGAGCAAAGTCTGTTTGGTTTCAGGTTTGTGAGCAAAGTCTGTTTGGTTTCAGGTTTGTGAGCAAAGTCTGTTTGGTTTCAGGTTTGTGAGCAAAGTCTGTTTGGTTTCAGGTTTGTGAGCAAAGTCTGTTTGGTTTCAGGTTTGTGAGCAAAGTCTGTTTGGTTTCAGGTTTGTGAGCAAAGTCTGTTTGGTTTCAGGTTTGTGAGCAAAGTCTGTTTGGTTTCAGGTTTGTGAGCAAAGTCTGTTTGGTTTCAGGTTTGTGAGCAAAGTCTGTTTGGTTTCAGGTTTGTGAGCAAAGTCTGTTTGGTTTCAGGTTTGTGAGCAAAGTCTGTTTGGTTTCAGGTTTGTGAGCAAAGTCTGTTTGGTTTCAGGTTTGTGAGCAAAGTCTGTTTGGTTTCAGGTTTGTGAGCAAAGTCTGTTTGGTTTCAGGTTTGTGAGCAAAGTCTGTTTGGTTTCAGGTTTGTGAGCAAAGTCTGTTTGGTTTCAGGTTTGTGAGCAAAGTCTGTTTGGTTTCAGGTTTGTGAGCAAAGTCTGTTTGGTTTCAGGTTTGTGAGCAAAGTCTGTTTGGTTTCAGGTTTGTGAGCAAAGTCTGTTTGGTTTCAGGTTTGTGAGCAAAGTCTGTTTGGTTTCAGGTTTGTGAGCAAAGTCTGTTTGGTTTCAGGTTTGTGAGCAAAGTCTGTTTGGTTTCAGGTTTGTGAGCAAAGTCTGTTTGGTTTCAGGTTTGTGAGCAAAGTCTGTTTGGTTTCAGGTTTGTGAGCAAAGTCTGTTTGGTTTCAGGTTTGTGAGCAAAACTTTTGGTTTCAGGTTTGTGAGCAAAACTTTTGGTTTCAGGTTTGTGAGCAAAACTTTTGGTTTCAGGTTTGTGAGCAAAACTTTTGGTTTCAGGTTTGTGAGCAAAACTTTTGGTTGACCAGAGCCAAATAAAAATATATAAAATGTATTAAGGACCATGTACACCACTAGTGGTGGATAATCCTCCTGATCATTGCAAGTATAAAATTCTTTAATGAGGGGCATGTGCTTATCATATAATCATTCCATCACTCAATCCCGCATCGATGTTGTGAAACATTGAAGATGCTTAGTTCTCAGTCTGGTCAGGGAGAATGATTGAAGATATCTTTAGCCAATTTAAGATACAGAGATTAAGAGACTATGAGACAATTGCTATAGAGACCGGTGATCCCAATTCATTTGTTATCGTTGATGAGAACAGTTGAACAATGAAAATAGACGGTGAATGCCTAATCAAATTGATTAGTAGAAACAAAGTTAAAGTCTACCTGTAATGAGTATGTCTCAGCTGCATACATCACTACACTTCTTGACACCTATCGTAACTCATCTCTTCTGTCGCTTCATCTGGCAGGGCAGGGGCAAAGAACCCATCACTGTCTCTCTGGAGTGATACCAAGAATGAAAAACAAAAGAGAGATTGAAAGTTTTTTCCTCACAAAGTTTAAATAGGATACCAACTACCAAAAATAGAAAATATATATTTATTATTTATTTTCAAACAGATAAAACATATTTATAGTTATATAACTTTTTCAATACGCTATTAATTTCAATTTTGTGTCGAATAAATTTCTGAACTGGCGACTTTTTTTTTTACTTTTAATAGGACTTTTTAGATTTTTTTTTTCTATAATTCAAATTTCTTCCATTAATAATTAGACATAAACTAATTTTAAATGAAATCAAGTAAAATAATTGAACTTAAAATATATAATTAATTATTAGTTCCGATTTAAAATATATAAATTGTTTTTAAAAA